GATTAAGCAATGGTTGCTTCAGGGAAAGGATACAATGGGTTGACTAATAACAGCAACAACAATGATAGTTTCTGCCTATTGAAGTTTTACTTAGCACCAGACACTGTGGTTAAGTGTTTTTCAAGCACTTATTTCCTCAATTAATAAAACTTTATTCAGCCTTTATTATGTACTAGGCACTGAAAGTATAATAGTGAGTAAAATCAACAAGAATTCTTGCCCTCTTGGAGCTTGTAGGTTAGTGAGGGAGGCAGACATGAATTGAATAATAACAAAAATAAACATATAATTATTTTGGCAAGAGTGCCGAGACCCTCAACGGGGGAAAGGACAATCTTTTCAACAAATGATATTGAGGAAACTGGATATCCACATGGAAAAGAATAAAGTTGGAGCCATACTTTATACTATAGTCAAAAACTAACTCAAAATGAGTCAAAGAACTAAATGTAACATCTAAAACTATAAAACTCTTAGAAGGAAATATAGAAGAAAATCATCATGACATTGGATTTGCAATGATTTCTTGGATATGACATCAAAAGCACAGGCAGCAAAAATAAAAATATAAAAATTGGACTACATTGAAATTTCAAACTTCTGTGCATCAAATAACACAATCAATAGAGTGAAAAGGCAGCCTGCAGAATGGGAGAAAAGATTGCAAATCATATATCTGATAAGTGGCTAATATCTGGAATATACAAAGAACTATAACTCAACAACAAAATACCAAATAACCCCTTTAAAAATAGGCAAAGAATTTGAGTAGTTATTTCTCCAAAGATTTATATAAGGTCAAAAAGCTTATGAAAAGGTGCCCAATATTAGGGAAATGCAAATCGAAACCACAATGAGATATCATCTCACGCGCATTAGGATGGCTGCTATTAAAAAAAGAAAAAGAAAATGTAACACAGAAAATAAGAAGTGTAGGTGAGGAAGTAGAGAAATTGGAATCCTTATGCACCATTGGTGGGAATATAAAATGGCGTAACTGCTATGGAAAACAGTATGGCGGCTGCCTCAAAATATTACAAATAGAATTGCCATATAGTCCAGCAATACCACTTCTGGCTATATATCTAAAAGTTTGAAACCAGGATCTCAAAGTGATATTTGTACACCCATGTTCATAGCTGCATTATTCACCATAGCCAAAAGATATAAGCAACTCAAATGTTCATTGGCAGATAAACAAAATGTGGTATATACATGCAATAGAATATTATTCAGCCTTAAAAAGGAAGGAAATTCTGATACCTGATACAGCATGGATGAACCTTGAGGACATTATACTAAGTGAAATAATCTGGTCACAAAAAAGCAAATACTGCATGGTTTCTTTTACATGAGATATCAGGAGTAGTCAAACTCACAGAAAGTGGAATGGTGGTTCATAGATGCTTGGGGGAGAGAGAAAGGAAAAGTTGTTGTTTAATGGGTATAGAGTTAAAAGATGAAAAAGTTCTCGAGATTGGTTGTACAACAATGTGAATATACTTAACACTACTGAGCTGTACACTTAAAAATAGTTCAGATGGTAAATTTTATATGTATTTCATTGCAGTTAAATTTTTTAAAAATTATAAATGTGTAATTGAAATATTTATCTCCTTTAATCTTTTAAACAACTCTATGAGAGCTTTTATTATGCTCATTTTATAGACCAGACTCCCAAGGGGACACTGTTAGTCATGGGTGGAGATGGAATTTGAGCCCATTTTTTGAGCCTAAAGTTCATGCTCTAAACTGTTACCCAACTTAGATAAGGAGGTCTTCAAATAAATGAACAGAACTACCTCTTATCGGGTTTGGTCACTGCGATTGGAGAGATCACAGAGCATGAAATTTAGAGTGTGGGTACCAGCAGGTGTCAAGCGTGCTGATAAAGGGCCTGTCTCCCATAATTATGCCAGTCCCTCTCTCCACCTCGCCCATGAAAAATATGTCTAAGTGTGGAATCAAGATAACAGTTTGATTTCCTTTGTTTCTATTCCAAAAACGTTTTTTCCTTCCGTACTGTAGATAATACCTTAAAACCAAGTGGAGTTAGAGTCTAGATTGTTTTTAGTAGAGTAGCTGCCTTAAAAGCCTGTTGTTGGCAAGGCAGAATGGCAACTGAGGGTGTGACTTCCTAAGACAAAGCCCTTGGTTAAATCCTAGAGTTCCAGTTAAATCACAGATTGCTTTAGGCCAAATAAGGCCGCTGGCGGATGTGAAAAACTCCAAAGCAGTTCTTCCAGGGAAAAGAGAAAAAAAGTGTCAGATGCCCTGGCCAGACAACCATAATGGCTGTGTTGGGAATATGATCTGTTAGAGCTGCTGAGACACTAGGAGTGAATCTACTATAACACTAAGGAAAACCATCCTCGTGGAATGATTGAACAGACCAAGGTTGATGCTGTTGCAAGGACTGCACTTTAGGCCAAAGGAAAAATATAGACAGGAAGCCTGGGATCAGGCAATGGGTGGCAAGAGTGGACATGGGGAGGAGCAGAAGTGCTACTGGCTTAAGCGGGACCAAAAAAAAATGGAACTTTGGTCAAGTGAAGGAATGTTATCAGATGCTTTTCAATAGGAAGAAAAACCTGGTATCCTGCCATAAGCTTAAAACTACTGGGATAACATGGAGGGGGATTTCACAGCTAGTTATAGGTTCATTTCCAGAAGGCCTTAGTCTTTACAAATTCTTTAGGGCCATGAACTTGAGAATATAAAAAATGTCTGGAAAAGGATTCTGGGTATTCTGATAATGCAGCTTCTTTAGCTAATGTGATACTTTTCTTCTTTCTTTGAAATGCTAATTTTTTATTGTTTTACTATTTTTTATTTCAAAATATTAAAGGGGTACAAATGTTTCTGTTACATGGATACCTTGTATAATGCTTCACCCAGGGCTTTTAGTGTGCCCTTTACCACAATAGAGTTCATTGTACTCAATAGGTAAGTATTTACCTCTCGCCCCCTCCTACCCTCTCCCCTTCTTGGTTTCCAATGACCTTTACATCTCTTTGTGCCATGTGTGCCCATCGTTTACCTCCCAATTATTAGAGAGTACACGTGGTGTTTGTTTTTCCATTCCTGAGACACTCTGCTTAGGATAATGGTCTCCAATTCCATTCAAATTACTGCAAAAGACACTATTTTATTCCTTTTTATGGCTGAGTAGTACTCCATGGTAAATATATACCATATTTTCTTAATCCACTCATGAATTAATGGGCACTTAGGTTGATTCCACATCTTTGCAACTGTGAATTGTGCTGTGATAAACATTCAAGTGCAGGTGTCTTTTTGATAAAATGACTTATTTTCCTTTGGGTTGATACCCAGTAGTGGGACTGCTGGATCGAGTGGTAAGTCTACACTTATTTCTTTGAGGAATCCCCATAGTGTTTTCCATAGAGGTTGTACTAAATTGCAGTCCCACAGACAGTGTATAAGTGTTCCTTTCTTTATACATCTATGCCAGCATCTATTATTTTTGGACTTTTTATTAATAGTAGCCATTCTGACAAGAGTAAGATGGTACCTCATTGTGATTTTAATTTGCACTTCCCTGATGATTAGTGATGTTGAGCATTTTTCATGTTTATTCACCATTTGTCTATCTTCTTTTGAAAAACTTTTGTTCATGTTTTTTGCCCACTTTTTAATGGGGTTGTTCTTTTTATTGCTGATTTATTTGAATTCTTTGTAGATTTTGGATATTAGTCCTTTTTTTTTTTTTTTTTTTTGAGACAGAGTCTCGCTTTGTTGCTCAGGCTAGAGTGAGTGCCATGGCGTCAGCCTAGCTCACAGCAACCTCAAACTCCTGGGCTTAAGCAGTCCTACTGCCTCAGCCTCCCAAGTAGCTGGGACTACAGGCATGTGCCACCATGCCCGGCTAATTTTTATATATATATATTAGTTGGCCAATTAATTTCTTTCTATTTTTTATAGTAGAGACGGGGTCTCGCTCAGGCTGGTTTTGAACTCCTGACCTTGAGCAATCCGCCCGCCTCGGCCTCCCAGAGTGCTAGGATTACAAGCGTGAGCCACCGCGCCCGGCCTGGATATTAGTCCTTTATCAGATGCTTTTCAATAAGAAGAAAAACCTGGGCAACCTGTCTCTCCCCTTAGCCTGTGAGCTATTTTCCTTACAATTATTTTTTTCTGAAAGAAGTGTAAGAAATGTTAAAAAGAATTCTAGAATACACAATGGTCTGGAATAAAGGAGACAAGACATATCATTTGAGTAGATCTGTCACATAAAATACCACATAGACTACTTGGAATTGTAACTTGAGGCTCATAAGCCAAACTAAAAGATGTCCATTGCCTATGAATTGTTCAATTAAGCAAACTAAATTAGCAGTAGACTTGTGGAAAAACCTACTAAACTTGAATATTTAGAATTTAGAGACTTCTAAGACATAGGGGGTCATATTTTAAAGCCTGGGGTTATTGGAAGTCATAAAACCTGCCATTGAGTGTCATTACACATCAACATACACAGAAATAATTATACCACTTAGTACTATGATCTCTTAATATCAGACTTTTGATTGAGAGGACTAAACACTTCAGCTAGTCTATAAGCTGAAATTTCCTGAGTCATGAATTCTTATCCTCTGTGACCTGAGAGGTAGGACAAATGCTAGGAGGGAGGCAGCATCCTGGTTAAGTCATCATTTATGTCTAGAACACTGAAGCAGTTTTATTGTACCTTACCAGGTACTGTGGGAAGCATTGCCTCCTCTGGGAGCCCAAGTGCTGAGGCTGTGCTGGAGAAAACTGTTGCAGGAGAATGATGGAAGGCATCATAGCTCTCAGAAATGAAGGGATGAAACATATTTTGGCAAGGAAAAAAACTGCTTTTTTAGCAGGTTCCTATGTAACTGGGGATGAAAGCTAATTTTCTTTCCCATATCCACTTTAGCTTCTGTTTGAATTCAAAGAAATAAACTCAATTTCAAAGTAATTTGTTAATAGTAGTCTTTCATTCTTTCTTTTAGTGCCTATTAAGTGCCTGGCACAGTGCTCAGCATGGGAGGCATGCTGGGTAACACAACAGAAGAAGATAGCTTCATCCAGAGATCACAGCACATGGATATAGAATATGAAACTAACATATGTGCTCTCAGAGAAGACAACATTGTGTGTAAAATGGGAACTTAATCTAGACTGGAGGTGTGACAGTGGGAGGTCAGGTAAGGCTTCCCTGGAGCTGTGGACTAGGTCCAGGTTTGGTTTGGGGGATGGGAAGGTCTGGACAGAAGAAATTGCATGTACAAAGGCCCTGGGGTTGAAAGTTACAAGGCATTTTGTAGGAACTGAAAGAAGGCCTGTGATGGCAGGAACAAAGAGAGTGAGGGGGACCGTGACTCAAGAGGAGGTTGAGGGCATGGTAAGGATCCTTTTGGGAAGCCATTGATGGGTTTTAAACAGGAATTTACTGTAATTAGATTTGCATATTGCAAAGATCACTTTAGCTGCAGTTTGGAGAATATATATATATATTATTTTTATTTATTTTTTTTATTTTGGCATATTATGGGGGTACACATTTTAAGGTTTCAACAAATGCCCTTTCCCCCCCTCCCCCCACAAGTCTGAGTTTCCAGTATGACTATCCCCCAGATGGTGCACATCTCCCTCATTATGTATGTATATACCCGCCCCCCTCCCAGGAGTGGATGGTGAAAAACCATTTGGGCTTCCATGTGGTAGAATGATAATGATCAATTGTATGAGGGGGGTGTACTGGATGTTCTTCATTTGCCCCTCCACATTTACTTGCCACCTTCTCTGTCCTGCTTTATGCCTTGGGAAGTTGAACTGTATGAACTACAGAAAAACAGCATTCCCTGCCTTCTCGCTTCTGGTCGAGTTTGGCCAATGGGAAGCCCCTGCAGGAGACTGGAATTTAAAGGAGAATGAGGTCAGGGTATTTATTTTTCTAGTTCCTTTCCTCTTGGGCTGCCCCTGGCTAGCTGTGTTCTTCAATAGATTTACATCTGCCTTCTGTATGTCACTCTCTTTTTCCAGTTTCCCTCCTCTGATCCCTTTTTAGGACGGGGGTGGTGATAGTTTTTCTCTTATTGCCAAGGGTTTCTATATTTTATATTTGGTGTGTGGTTTTTCTACACTTACACCTCTGTAAATAAATCCTCCCCCAAATTCTCCTAACTGGAATGTGCCATATATTTCCTTTGGTACCTTAACTGGTATAGGTAGTGGCAAGATATGAAGGGAAATAAATAGATGAGAGATGTAGTTAGGAGGTTAAATTAGCAGGTTTGGTGATCATAAAATCATTACTTATAGACATAAAAATAGTACAGTGATAATGCTTTGATTTTTATTACTAACAAAATAGATGCCATAGACTATTAGCTGAGAATAATAATATTTGCGTTTATTGTCATTTACAGGTATTGTGATTTTCAAAAGCAGCAAGACTGCAACAGCAAAAGGGAGACAACAGCGATGGAAAAGCAATATTTGGGAATTCACTTCAACCATCCCTTTCTCTACTTCTCAGCTTGCCTGTCTTCTTCTTCCATTAATCAGTTGTTGAATATCTTAACAAGAAAGCAAGTCATGTAATTCTAGATCCAAACTCTAGACAAAGACTTTCTCCAATTATTCTACCTGTTTTTCTAACACATATTCCTTGATAGCATCCCCGGGGCTTTGCTCCTAAACCCTTTCTAATCATGGAGAAATACAAGCAAATCTATCAAAAGGTCACCTGTGATCTGTGCAACTCATAAACGTTTCGTGTTGACCCTGCTTTTGGCTGAACTGCACCTAAGCCATACCAGCCTGGTAAATTAAGCTTCTTTGGTGTTTTTAAGTTTCTCTTGAAGAAGATGCTGCAATTTTCTTTGATAAATTAAAATGCCTAATGATCTGGCAGTCTATGCCCCTTCCTGATTTCTGTGGGGATTAAGATTAGCTTGCCATTATATGATGAATAAAAAATGTTCATTTCCTTGAAAACACAATCTTTCCAGAATTATCTGCCCCATTTCCTCGAGTTAACCTTTAGCTTCTGTAATAGTGTCCCATTGCTACTGTAACAAATTGCCAAAAATTTAGTATCTTAAAACAACATACTTCTTTTCCCTCTTACAGTTCTGGAGGTCAGAAGTCCTAAAATTAGTCAGCAAGGAGGTAGGTGTTCCTTTTGGAGGTTCCAGGCGACAATCTGTTTCCCTGATTTTTACTTTCTAGAGGCCACTTACATTTTCAGCTCATGATCCTGTCCTCTATCTTGAAAGCCAGCAGCGTAGCATCTTCCTTTCTCTTTGTGTGTCTCTCCATCTCCATCTCCATCTCTCTCTCTCTCTCTCTCTCTCTCTCTCTCTCTCTCTCTCCCTCCTTCCCTCCCTCCCTCTATCTCCCTCTCTCTCTCTCCCCTTCCATCATCACATTGCCTATTGCCTTCTGTGTTTGTGACCCTCCTGCCTCCCTCTTATAAAGACCCTTGTAAATACACTGGGCCTACCCAGATAATCCAAGATAATCTCTGCACCTCAAGATCTTTAACTTAATCATGTCTGCAAAGCACCCTTTGTCTCATAAGGTAACATATTCACAGGTTGCTGGTATTAGAATGTGGACATTTTGGTGGTGGCGGGGGCATTATTCAGTCTACTCTAGCTTCATTCCTATTGGCCTATTCCAAACATACCTTGTCTTTCCCAAATTCACCCAATTTGTTCCTACTGCCTAAGGGTTCTGCTACTACGTCTCTACTTCTCAAAATTTTCCTATAATTCAATGACAATCGAACAAATGTTTTCTGAGTATAGTGCTAGACTTGGAGATACAGTGGTGAACAAAACACAGCTAATATAGCCATTTTCTCTGAAACTGCCCCACTATGCTTTCTCTTGGTGGGGAGCCTCAAGGAGGGGAGGAGAGCTCTGGAGTTTTACTAACTGCTTCGAGCTATGTGAAAGAAAACACACATCTCATCTTCAAGTTCTCACTGCCCCAATCATTTTCAACATTCTTATGTGACTTCATTTCCACATTCCTTTTAGTTTTGGAACCTGGTATAAGATACATATGTCTAGTAATACTTTAATGTTACAGGAAATAATCAAAGAAAGATTAATCAAAGACATTATTAATAATATCTTTGCAATCACAGAGGGAGCATGAGGAAAGAATATTTCTGGGTGATTTTCTTTATATTTAGGTACTTACCAAACATTCTACGATGAACATAGCTTTCTAATTAAGTAAAAATAAAAAATAAAAAGGCAAAATATTTCCAGTTTTCAGGTCTTAACTTCAAATTCCATAATAACAATTAACACTAGATTATGCATAGACCCAGAAAACAAACCTGCTTCATAGTTTAAGCAATTGTTTGTAATCAGAATTGACTACATAATTTGTGGGGCTCAGTGTAAAATGAAAACATAGGTTTCTTATTAAAAAATGGGTAAGAATTTCAAGTCAGCAACAGCAGAGCATTAAATGAAATGTGGGCCCCTTCTAATTACAAGGTCTTATTCAACTGCATAGGTTTTTTGCCCATGAAACTAACCCTGGTTGTAATTATTGTCACATATAGACACAATGGACTTTTCATTACATTAAGCAAAATCTGAGAACTGGAACTAGGTTTTGAGAATTTCAGTGATGAGAATAAACCTTACATGTGGTGATAATTACCTTTGCTGCTTTTTGGTCTTTTCTTCTTCTTTGTACAGTTTTGATAATAATTATTAGTTTGACTGTGTCTCCCTGATACCAAAATTCATTAAAAAAATGTGAAACAGGCCAGGTGCAGTGGCTCATGCCTGTAATTCTAGCACTCTGGGAGGTCCAGGTGGGAGGATCGCTTGAGGTCAGGAGTTCAAGGCCAGCCTGAGCAAGAGCGAGGCTGTCTCTATTATAAATGGAAAGAAATTAGCCAAACAACTAAAAATAGAAAAAAAAAATAGCCAGGCACGGTAATGCATGCCTGTAGTCCCAGCTACTCAGGAGGCTGTGGCAGAGGGATAGCTTGAGCCCAGGAGTTTGAGGTTGCTGTGAGCTAGGCTGACGCCACGGCACTCTAGCCCGGGCAACAGAGTGAGACTCTGTCTGTCTCAAGGAAAAAAAAAAAGTGAAACAGTCAGTCAGTTACTTGGATCTTTCCCCAGAGCTAGATATTTCATATTATGCAAAAAATAAATGGGGATTCAACTTTCAATGACTAGACCCAACCTCAGTGCATTGCCTCCAGAATCCCATGACCTACTGAGCCTGCCATCAGTAGACTGGAATATTTTCCACAACTGACAAACACCTTGAGTATGGCCATTGAGTTAGTGGTTGGTTAAAATATGGGCCCCCAAGACTATGGAAGTTTCTTCCTGGCTTTGTGTTTAAATGACTTTGAAGAGCTTATTTCACCCTGCTATGAAAGAGAAATAAGTAAATTCTTCAAAATCCCAGTCAAGAGAGGTATCAAATGAAGCCAATGCTTGGAGAGCCTCAGACCAAACATATCTGAAAATGCAAATCTTTCCCCACTTCTTCAGCTCTAGCTCCTATTTAGCTGAGGAGTCACCTCTCCCTAGAAGCTTTTTTTGATTTCCTTCCTGGCTCAGTCCCTGCTCTGTGTTTCTGTAGCAAGCTGCATGCACACTTGTCTATCATAGCTTTTCCCACACTGTGATGGAATTATATTTGAGTATGTTCATCCTACCAGACTATGGCAGACATGGAAATGTGCTTCCCAGATCCCCCTTGGAAGTAGGACTTGCTGCCCAGCTGCAGGAAGGGTGGCCAGCCCCTCAGAGTCCCTTTGCCCTAGGTCCCTCCCTGGCAGCTCACAATCAATAACTGATCAAGCTGGGGGTGTCCAGCCCAGCCAGTTCAGCCAGATTTGGGATAACTTGGGCAGACAATTCTTACTCTAGAGCTCCCTGCTGATTGGAGGACACTCCGACGGACTGGATTGTGGTTCATCTTCTCTCTTAACCCAATCTCACCCCCCCATGCTCCTCTAACAGGTGTTGATCCCCAATAACCACCACATACTCCAAACTCCATCTCATTGTCTGCTTCGGGAGAATCCATCCTATGACACAGACTCTGAATTTCTTGTGTTATTTGCCTGTATATTTGTGACTTTTAGCACCTTGCTAAGGCCACAGTAACTGCTGGCTGAATTGAACAGTTTACTATAGACTTAAAAAATACAGTATTGTTCTTGATTTTCACTTTCCCTGTCACAGAGAATCATATGATGAAAATCATTGTGAAGGTTTTAACATTGTTAAACATACAACCAATAAAGAAAAATGTAATAAAGTGGTGCTGAAATATCTTTAAACAAATTATTCAGCCAATATAATCTTTGTGTGTTATCTGTATAATTTTTAACATGATAACATCAGCATTTTAATATAGTATCAGACTTTGCCAGTCTCTTTATAGACTGTTAAAGCAGTGCCTTTGTTTAAGCCTTGGGAAAATGTTTATTTGTTGGTAGAAATGAAGGCAATCCCCAAAGTGCTTTTTAATATGAAGAATGCAGCATGGATTCTTAGTTATGGGTTTTCCTTGTGATATATTTTTGTTTGTTTTTGAACAAGATGCTTTAGAAGAGAAAGCAGGTGGGGGGAGGAAGTGAAGGAAGCAATGAAAGGAAGAGATAAATGAGTTGTGAGCAATGTCAAGAGGCTGTGAGTGATGTTACAGCTGCTAAATCAGTTCCCACTACACTTAGGATAGGAAATCAAATTGAAGGAAAAATCCAAAGAAAACAAAATGAGTGCCGGACAACATTCCCACAACCACCCTTCTGAAGATACCTCCCCCAAAGGCACAAAAAATTACCTACCCAATAATCTAATATTGTGTCAAGTAGAGCAGTAAATTAATTTAAATGCAATGGGTTTGCACCTCAAAAGATACCAGAACTCGAGGGAGAGGGGAGTTCAAGTGCAGAATGATGAGAAAGAGCAAATTGGGGTAAGACTAAATTGGTGAGATTACGCGACGGGTTCTGATATAGAGGTTGTGTATTCAAAACAGCAAGTTTATCAGTTTGTAAAATAATATCCATGTCTTCCTTTGAAACCTATGGAAATTTTGATAAAATGCAATATTATCATTTCCAAATCCTTTACAAGTGTTTATTCAAAACAATGTTTCAGTCAAAACTATAGAGACAATAAAAAGAGCAGTGGTTTCGGGTTGAGGGAGGGAGGGATGAATAGATGGAATACTGGGGATTTTTAGGGCAGAGGAACTACTCTGTATGATACTGTAATGGTGGGTACATGTCATTATACATTAGGCAAAACTGATAGAATGCACAACCCTAGGAGTGAACCCTGTTATAAACCATGGACTTTAGTAAATAATAATGTACCAATATTGATTCATCAATTGTAACCAATGTACCACACTAATGCAAGCTATTAACAAGAGGACATGGGAGGGGGAGAAAGGGAGTATACAGTGACTCATACTTTCTGTTCAATTTTCCTGTAATTCTCTA